AAGGTAGTGATGCCGAAATCTTGCCGCAAGACACCTTGTCGCCCCTTACGTGTTACGAGATCAGCTCCCGCCATAGTAGGCATCTTCTCTTCCCTCGAAGTCAACTTGATCGTACCACCTGCCTTCAAAGGATACGTCGGCGCAGATCATGCGTGCCCAAGAGTACACCAGGAAACGGTATTTGTATCCCAAATTGTAATATTTTTTAGGTCGTCATATGCAGCTCCCAAAGCAGGGCAACGAATCACGCCTGAAGATTGTATCGTTCCCGTATTATTTCCGCCTGCTGCGGGCCGCGTGAGTGGTAAAAGCGCCACGCAATCACAAGAAGAGGACTCTTTTACTGGATGTATTCAATTTTTCACTTCCTGCAGGGAGAGTTTATTTATTTTGTTTATTTATTCATGCGTGCAGTTGACGCGCCTATAAGAACAAACAATAGAAAACACTGTGGTTAGTCAATGAGGACGGTAGCCCTATTATCTTTACGGAACTATTAAAACTACAGTATAAAAGACTCCGATAACCCTATTCCCTTTCCTGTATTCGAAGGATAGCACCAGTACGAGGAAAAATTAGCACAGCTGATCCGCTAACGAGGAACCAGGGTAAAATCTCTCGGAGCCTGGGTGACCACGAGTGGAATCCAGGTCTCTTAGTTAAAGGACTCGTTCACGGAAAAAATTAGGCTTAAGACCCGTCATTCTCCATTTCCGCTCACTTTTTCAGTTTGAAAGCTTAGTATCACTTAGAATGCGATCAGGCCTATACAATGAAATGCGGTGCTAGCCGATGTACCAGTCGTGCTGCAGAAGGGGGAGGTAGGGTTGGGTTCAAATAGAAAAGGGGTCAAGGGCTTAGGAAAATTCTGTACATCGAGAAGAGTTTTGTAACTTTACCGCCCCCTTCACCTTTTATCAGTAAAGTGCTAACCAGGTAGGGTGTGCAGTGGTGAGCGAGACTTTTCTCTTTAAATATGATCAGTGTACTCTCTAGAACAGTTACTGATAGGAAATTCATTAATACTAATCGGAGCAATTACATCGGAAGGCAGTGCCCGCTTGCAACTGTTTTTTGAAGGAAATTTCCTCGATAAATTCGGAATGGTATGTGACAGTCAAAAATTCAGTTGTGGGTGCATATTAGTTCATCGATTATGAAAAATTAAAGAAAAGGACCCGAACTTCTCGACCGAGACCCTCGCTTCTTATATGCGAATACCCGTGAGTGGAGGAGCTTTCTGGAATCCGCTCAGAACTTGTTCTTTGACTAGTAATAAGCTTCGCAGTGAGGTGGGGAATTACATGGGTTTTTGACCTTCGAATTTGTTCACATTATCCCATTTGAACTAATGAAAGGCTTGATAACTTCACACATTTTGGAATAGTATGCCATCCTTTGTCCTCGACTCACACTGATGCTGGGATTTAGACGGTGGCGTTCGACCTTACCAATGAATTGTAGAAACCGTAGAGCTCCCCGATAGGCAGGTCGAGTTTCGCCTTTTTTACATGGAATGGTTGTAACATCCTACCGCCCTACAGAAAAATAAAGGATCGTATGGGCAGTATGAAATCGGAAATCGCGTGTCAGAAGTGAAAATGGACTGTGATTGTCCATCAACTCATGGTCCACGCTTTACAGATTGAAAAAAAGAAATGACAATCAGAGCAATACATCTGCTTCCATTTGTAAATGATTACGTGGCTGGACTTCACCTGATTCAAAATTGCCAAATTCTTTTTGAGAAATTGTAGCTGTCCCAGAAAAATCCAACACTTTACCCTCCTCTATTGGTTTTTTTCAAAAGTCCACGGTGGCCATATTGTCTGTTTTTGAAGTGCGAGAGAATTAGATAAAGTGTGTGAGCAGCAGGGAAGAGCATGCACCAGTGGAAGTAGTAGGTACTAAGGAATTAGGATTTGGCCTTTCCGAGGCCGAAGGTGCGCCAGTTCGCTGACTTGAGCTGCCAACTCCTTCCTGAGCTCCGCCAACCCGGCCGTGCTCTGGCGCACAGCAAAAGTGTGTTGCCAGCTGTATCATTGGCGTTCGGGCTGTCCCCATTTGATTGAGGTATTTCCCACTTCGAAGCGCATATCCTACAACTTTTCCATAAACTGCGTTATCAATCAAGGCTTGGCCTTTGCTGGTTATGGTGGATATGGTTTAACATGTGCAAACGACCTCTTGGTTGGTTGCCAGCTCGTCCATTATCGCAGGTCATCAGGCAAAAAAAAGGGTCCCATTTTGCGCGTTCTCGGCTTTTTCGCCACTGGGGCATTATTCAGCATCCCCACTTCACCATTTAACGCCCCTTTAACCATGCAATATCGTATATCCTCGCTTCACCTGAGCACATTTCACTCATTAACCTTGTTTTAATGCATTCGTAATGCCCCTCGCTTTACCTGAGAACTTTCACCGATTGTATGGAGAAGCTCGCGCCTCGATACTTTCTCTGACCGGTTTTTCTCATTGATACGGTGGAATACGTTATGCATATTAGGATAGCCTTTGAGTTGGGAGAGATTTGGAACAACTCCGCTTAAGGAACAGCATGCAAGTGGATTTGAGCGCTTGTGGCAGCTTTTCTTACTCCCTTTCTTTACTTGTGAAACCATTAGTACACATACTTTTAGCTCGTGAGCGAAAAGCTATGGTAAGATATACCATCACTCCTATTCGATCACGGAATGTATCGAGATGTTTCTAATGGGTGTGTTTTCAAATTCAAACACCTGCCGAAAACTTTCAGTTGTAATCCACTGTCAAATTTCATCACGGTGGACCTGTGTTGATTGGCGATAAGACATGGTAAATACCATCAAAAATTGAGTCACGGTTAAAAGGTGCCATAATAGGCCGATGTCAGACTTTGCGAATCGCGCGATTCGCTAGGGTCTGCGGTCGCGTCGCGGCCAAGTAGAATCAGTCCATTTGGCTGGTAACCACGCGACTGCTAGCGAAAATCGCTGCGATCTTCGCAAAGTCTGACATCGCGCTAATAGAATACACATTGCTCCGATAAAGTAGGAGGTAAGGGTTCCGATTTTGTCTGGGGCCTGTTTTGTTTACAACTCAGGATTTCTTGTGAATTTGGTGATTTAGTTCAGCTTTAATCCCATTTGATGGTTATGTGCGGTCGGGACCACTTGTGCATTCGCCTGATCGGGTGTTACTGTAACACCAGAAACAAGTGTTTAAAATGAGCGTTTATTTTGGAAAAGAGTTTCAATCTACGATCACTAAGTCATGATCAACAGATCAAATCTCGATTTTATAATCTCGAGCTAGACGTTGAGCAGCTTCAGTGACCGGTCCTGCCTGAGGCATCCCGTTGACTGGTGGCAGTTGCGGCTCTTGAATGCCTCCTGCGTTGGCGTAGGCGAGCATGTACCTGTGAGTGCTGCTTGCTTTTTTCCTTCGTTACTTTGTCAGGGTCGTATGAAGTTCCCTCATCCTATTTGCGAACAAACCTTGGTGCGATACAAGTAGGGTGGGCACGCCGCATTTCTTGAACAGAAAGGTATGTAAATGGAACTGCTGCCCGCCTACTATACTGCCACGAGAATCGGGGAATTTTTGAGCCAGGGGGGCGTAGCCAACCCTAGGTGGGGTGGAGGGGTTAGGGCAGGCACTTGACATGCGTAAAAAGCTGGGCCTGCCCGTCCCACCTGTATAGAGCCCAACTTTGGAAATTCTGAAAGAGGGCTTTTGATCGAATTTTTAGTCCACTATTTTGTGACGCTTGTCGGCTACGCCGAATGTTAGTACAGAATGCACGTTAATTAGCTCAACGCAACCATGGGCCAAGCAAGCTCCCGACTAGAGCGCTCTGAAATTTTTGTCTGTGGTAGAAACTGCGAGCCTTGAAAGAACTATCGTGGATGAGCGTGGGCGTGGGTTAGGTTATGAGGATTGCGGCCGAGCGCAGCAATGAACGCGCCACGCATGACAATTCTCGGCTAGTAGCCTGAAATTGGAGCTTCACGACAGCATTTTTGCCAAGTTTTGTTGATGAAGCACAAAGCACTTGTGGCGCCGCTGTCGCTGCGACACCGTAATCCTTATGTCCTGACCCACACGTGAACGATCACAAAGTGGTTGATTTCATACGTGAGCAACAGCGACAGTCGCTATGCATAATCATTAAAATAAAAATGAAAAATTACATGCTGACAAGTTATTCCGGCAGTGGTGGAGAGTTTCCTGCCTAATAGGCAACATTTCCCGTACAGAAACTATCGTAAGTAAACTTCTGATTGACTAGTTATGCTTCTAGAAGGATGAAAAAGCCTACCGTCCACCAAGTTCGACCTTGCAGATCAGATCGCTGCTGAAGTGAACCTTCTGCGCAAAGTCGTCATAAGCGACAATCGTCTCGAATGTTCTATTGAACTTCTCCTCGGTACGTACCTAAACAGAATTGGGATGGTTTATTTGAATCCTTTAATTAAATTCTTGAAAGCAATAGGATTACTGCTATTCCTGTGATGGAAAGACTTCTAGCAGCACTTCTAATGTGTACGCTTTTCCACATTTTGCATTAGTGTTTCTCACACCTTTCTCCTTGAGCGAAGCGGAGGGGTTGAAAAGTTAAGAGAGAGATATTCTTCACTTCTTCCCATTTAGACCAGTTTGGTCCAAGCATTTATTTATTTATTTTTTTTTTGTTATTTCTTTATTTATTTTCTTGAAACACGGTAGGTGCAGGCATGAATGAACACTGAACCACTAAACCATAATTGGTCGAACCACTGCAAATATTATGTTTAGAAGCTCTTCGGAAAGTTGGATAGTAAGGAAGCAAGAAACAGAAGAAAGAAGACGATTCAAGTATAGTTGTTAAATAAAAAGTAGCAAAATATAAAAATATAAAATAAGTAGTAAAAAGAAGAAAGCAAAAATTTAAAAATAAAAGAACAAATAAAGAAATTGAAAACCGAAAAAAAAACAGAAAACGTTTCCACGTCTAAGGAAGCCAACATGAGTGGCTCCAAATGATGTCCTCAGCTCAGTATGTATAGTTTTTATGAACAGATTGTGCGCGCAGCAAAACATTGCTAATTATTGAAAGTACAACACTTTAAAAGCAGAAAGTAGCTAAATTCAGAAACAAGTCGGTGAAGCGGTGGAAAGTCAAAGAGGTTAAAGAAGAATGGGGAACTACGAAAAATCTTAAAAAAATTCATATTTTTGTTGTCGTATCTGTAGACAGTTATTCTTTCTTCCTTATATTCTGCTATTCTAATGCTATTATTCTATTATCTTCCTATCTCTGTTATTCTATTATACTCTATTTTTTGTATTTTCATTACTTGCGTGTTTCATCGAAGGATGGAAACATACCTGCATTATGTTAGCAACAGCTTGAATGTTGCACGAATGAAACTTCGGTCGAGCTTCCAACTCCGCGAATGTCTCAACCATGAGATCGTTTAGAATTTCAGTTCAGCCAGACAATATCCTGAAACGAAACGAACGGAGTGATGATGCTAAACACATTTGGTTCGTTGTTTTGTTTGTTTTCTGTTTCGGTTACCCAGAAGAGAGCTTTAATTTAAGTGACGAAAGGGTGCCCTGGTAGCGTAATTTGTAGCGCACTTGCTCGCTAAGGCCTGATGTCAGACTTTGCGAATCCAGCGACTCGCTAGCGAAATCGCTGGACACGAGCGTTGCGCCAGCGATTGAGCTGTGTACCAGCGGATCGAGCTATGTGCCAGCGACTCGACACTGTTTGAAAGTGGCGGGATCCAAACGCTGAAGGAAGTCCCGCCACTTCAAACAGTGTGTTCCATTTGAAGTGGATTTCCTTTTATCGTTGGGTCCCTAGCCACTTTCAAACAGTGTCGAGTCGCCGGTACATCGTTCATCGCGCTGGTGGAGAGCTTATTGGATTCGCAAAGTTCTGACATCGGCCTAAGCGACGTTGCGGGTTCTAGTGAATTGGCGAGAGTTTTGTTTATATCTCAGCATTCTGTGATGTTAGCACTGCGTTCTTTTTCATTCCACAAATAAGAGAAAATAATTCTCCTCAGTAGGATATATATTGGAAAACAAAGAGAGGAGTTACTTCATTGCTTGGAATATCATCGGGAAGTGGTGTAGTGACAAGTGGCGCGCTTACCACGCGAGCGGTCCGGGATCAAATCCTGGGTCGTGAGTCGCCCGGGCCAACCAAGCCTTCCATCCCTCCGGGGTCGGTTAATTGGTACCAGACTTGTCTGGGAGGATAAAAACACTGACTTGACATCGGCTGGCCCCGCAAGTCATTGTATAGGCCACATCGCATTCAAACGCCACTACGAATGTACAAATGGAAGTAGAATGCGTGCCGCATCCCAAAAAGGGATTGATCAACGGCAAATGCTTTATCCTTTATCCTTTATCCTTGTAGGTAAATATGAGCTTGCACTATTCACAATGTCTTTTTATCGGGAGGAGGGGGGGGGGCGTTAATCTCACTTGGTGGGGGAGGAGAAGGAGGCGGGAGACCCTCCCCCGCCTCCTCCCGCCCACCACACGTGAGTAATAAGCTTGTTCGACCATTTGCTCGAAGATAACACATCAATTCCAAGCTCTAGGTCTTGAGTCACCTGCCGTACTATGCACAGCGACATTTCTTCAGTTTTAGGCATTAAAATTCAGTACTTACTGGTTAGGGCAGTTGTTCAAATCGGCGCGCGACGGCGGCAAATTTCATTCAGACAGAGGACATTATGGATGTCAGTATGAGCAGCGAATGATAATAGCTGGCGAGCCACAGCTTTTATACTCTCTTACGGTGTGGGTGCCTAATCCATCGACCGAGCTTCCCTGATCTGGATGATGTAAGAACCAGGATCTGATACCCGTACCGTGTTCGTGATAAGCCACTTGCCACTACACCAATGACCCTCAAGAACTTTTACTTCTACGTGGTACAAATTCCTACGAAACCGACTCATGTGCTGCCAAGCGCAATGACCACAATACCTTTAAGAAAAAAGTTTATGTTGGGCTTCCACTAGGGCTCCGACCTACTGTGCTGTTTGGCTGTCCTTCTGCAGACCTGTATCCCGCGTTCTTTTTTGCACTTCATCGGTTACTTTCAGTAATCATCCTACCAGTTGGGTTATAGAAGCATTTTCTTAGTGGAAGATATTGACGTGGTGGATAGTAGTAACGAGCTGGACCGTATCCACGTACTTCTGGCGCTCTCTGAAAAAATATTCCTGAAGGAGAATGAATGGATTTCGAAGCTTAGCTGAAGGTTAATGAACTTACTGGAGGAGCCATATCATTCGCAACTGCAGGTGTTTGCCTCTGGAATGGCAAAAAATCAGTGAGTGTGTTGTTCACTGCAAGGGCAATAAGGGGATTTGAGAACAATTTCTCGCGAATGGGAGATTTGTTGAGCACTGTTGAATATCACAAGAAATGGTGGCTTCTTCAGTGCCTTATATTTCATTCAAAAGTGGGAATATGAGCAGAACTGTTTTTCCCAGCAGTTTGTAGACATACATATGACGCGTTCGGCGGAGCTGCGCAGTATAGCCGGCTGCTCTAGAGAAAGATACGGAAATCCAAGAACTCCAATGTTTTTGTTTTATTTGATTTCCGGATTTGCTTTTAGAGATAATCTCCTTCTAAGAGATCGCAAGCATGCCGACTATAAAAGTCAGAACAAAACGTGAAATGGTAAGGCATGCCAGCTTCTTTGTGATCAGGCGCTTCACGGCATTATGGTCGACATTTCCTTTGAGGAGCGGGGTTATAAATTCGTGAAAAATCATACCGCGAGCATCGGCTCATCGCGGGCGAACTGTCGAATGGGTGCACGAGGTGGTCCTTCGAAATAGAGCGGTGGTCCTCTCTAAATTACACAAGTATTGAAAGTAAACTAGCAAGATGTTTCGGCAACTTTGTAATTGCAGTGCATTCATTACACTTGT